CCAAATACGATAATATTTTCTATGAAAAAGAATTAATTTTGAGCATGAGAAAGGGCATCGAACTCCACATGAGAAATGAGTGGTTCGAGAACATGTTCCAAGGAAAACGGCCAGATAATTGCGTGCGGGCATCACAAAATACACGCGCGAATTTTATTTCATGTACCCCAGGAAAAAAAAAAACCATAGTACAGGTTTGTGTGACGTACTATATAATATGTATCTTACTAATTGACAGGGATATACATGCAAAGAATAACAATCAGGATCGTGATTTGGGTGGTTATTACTGGTTTCGGTTGTGGTTCGGATTTTGGTTTCCGTTTCTGTATCTGACAATTCAGAAAAAACGAATAGTTGTGGTACAGGGTGTTCACGATTTTTGGCTTGGATGGTGCAACGGATAAAAAATAAGTGTAAAAAGTCGGAGTGATTTGTTGTCTGGTAATGCAAACCACTTGGATATCACAATGGTTAAACACTGTCACAACCTATGGCAACCTGTAGCATCACACAAAAATGGGTTCACGAGGTGCCATGATTTCGGTTGGAGAAAACGCGACCAATGTGACATAAATACCAAGCGTGAAGCATGTGAAATAAAAAAAAGGGTGGGGAATTTAAAAAAAGGGACACTATGGGATGTGAGGGGTTGCGAACAATTTTTGTGACGTTAACACTCTTCAACATTACCATTCAACCCCCAGTAAAATATGACTCCCTGTGTGGAATACATACAAACAATACTGCAACAACAAGAAACTAGGAGTAGTAGTAGTAGTAGCACTAGTAGTAGTAGCACTAGTAGTAGTAGCACTAGTAGTACTAGTAGGACAAAGAATGTGCATGATGCACATGATATAAAATTAATTTTTGACACATGAAAATACAGCCTACTATGAACACGACAGCAAACACATTTTTGACAATGGTATGGTGCACCTCTTTTGAACACACAACAATATAAGAATGCAATCTATACTAATTTGAAGTATCCTCAAAAACAACTCTGTTATGGCTTTCTATACACACATGGTCCAGTCATTAAATGACAAGTAGAACCCAAGAACTGATGGTAAAGTCTCCCAAAAAAAGCCATATTTCAGTAGCTATCACAAGTACGTCAGGCACTTTCACTTCATCTAATCTTAATGACTGGATATATTTATAATAGATGATCTGTTAAAGAAAAAAATTCCAATCTCCCAAATGTTTAGCTTGTTCCAAGTTTAGACATTCATTCATGGGCGGAGGAAGTACCAGAAGTAAATGAAAACAAAAAGTGAAACTTTGTGGAACGGTATTTGATCTTCATCACACAAACAGGATCCATGGTATTGTGCATTTTGTGTGGTCGATACCCTTATCCACAAGTTGTGGATATTTCAGAGGTTTTTGCATGTTCAGACCCACATGAAGAGATTTTCTTTGTTTGTTCCACCAAAGGAGCTTTGCGCTGCTTGTGTTTCAGTTTACCATGATTAGTACTACTAGTACTAGATGTCTATTTCCTTTTTTGAAATTGTCTTCTTCATACTAGTACTACTATAAGCGATAGCACTTGTATCATATAGAAGGGTTGGTGCAGTTATTCCAGCCAAACCAGTCATGCATTTTTAATCCTATATTCATACATGTATATAAATATCTTCGGCTAATAGTACTTCCCAGCTCCCCCATATTACTAGTAGAATTGTGTTTAAACTGGGTTTGATTCATGTGCTTATCATTAAGAATCTGTTGGGGACAAAGATATACTAGCTGTTAGAGTGAGTTGACCCTTAGTTAACTCTCTACATGCTTTTTGTACGGTGTGTCAATTTTGGGCCATCTAATTACTGTGTAATGACTCGTGGGATTATAAATTTGACTTGTACTAGGCATACAGCATGCACATGAAAGCAAAAACTATTTTGCACATGCGTGAAACTATTTGGTCGCACAAATATGGGATTCAAAAATTCAAGTACTAGTACTGAGCACGTGCATTTTGTATGTATTTAGTTTTTTAGTCAAAGTAGTCATTACATGCAAAAAGAGGGGCCCAAAATGTATGACTGGTGCGTACATTTGGGCGCCAACTCTATACAAAAGTCTCTTTGTTTGTTCTTGTATTCCCTATTTAACAAAAAAAGTAACAACACCTGAACCCTCTCTCCAATCCATACTGAGAGTCCAAATTATATGGTTGATGTGCTGGTGGTGGTCTTGAAACAATCCTTGTTTCCTTTCATCTTCAAACAGATAGCTGTTATTCTATTTAATGTTTGTAGTCACCTGCAACTTTTTGGAAAATATTCATGTCAATAGAGAGGTGAATTTTATAACATCCCTTTGGTTCCAGGCTATGAGGAGTCACATGGCCAGAGGAGGAAAATCACCAATTGGACAGAATGTTTTGGAAGATATCTCCATAGGGAAACCTGTGGAAATCTGTGCTAGTTGGAGGAGTGCCACTTGTCTTCCATTACTAGTAGCCTGTGCTCTGTCAGTTACCAAACTTGTGGAGGAGCTTTTGACCCCTGTAGTAGCTATGAAGACATCTTTCCTTTCAAGCACCATAATATTCTTGAAATGATATGATATGAGGAGGAGGAGGAATAAGCACAATCAGGAGCTAACTTGAAGTTTCCTTTGCTTCCTTGTAGTAAGGGCTCTTGACAAAACTTGAAACCAGCAGTATTAGCAATTTCACCACTTGGGACATTCTTCTTAGACTCCAAATTGAAATCCCAACCATTTTTACCCCACCCATTGTGACCATGTTCTGGATGCCTTCACCAACAATGAACACAACAAGAAAACAATCCAGAGATTTTTCAACACCCTCCTGTTATTGTTCAGGCTATATTTGAAAGGAATTTTCTGATGAATCTCTTAGTAGTACACATTGACTTTCTGCAACACAGAGCACCTACCACTACACCAATAAGGAGGAAGAACTGTAACTTAGAATAGTAGTCCTCCTTTCAATGATGTACTATGATGCACTCTATGCTGAATTTCTCCTACTAGTAGTGTTGAATTTGCTTGAGGATTCATGCTCTTTGTATTTCTCCAATCCACAGCAGAAGTTGTTGCAAAGGTCTGGGTCATATCTGTTGAATTCATGCCTGCTTAGTTACTCTCCTACAAGTAGTAGAGCAGTCACAACCATTACTAATGACTAATAGTAGGCTGAAAATGGTTGCTGATGTATTACATGGATTTGAAATTTGTTCTTGATCATCTGAAGTCCCTAGAGGCAGGTCTCTGCTCTCTTAGTACACATGTCTTTGAACTACAAGATGTTGGTAGGATGTGCATTTCAATGATTTCTTTGACCTTGTTGGTTCTTGTGGTTCTTTGATGCCTCCTGTGGTGGTTACTAGTAGGAGACACCATGATCCATGGTATTAGTTGCCCCCAATTAGTAGTGTGATGAAAATATCTTGAGGAGGTGTACAACAACAAGACAGAAGCCAAAATTCAGAGCCATACCTTTTCTTGGTGATGGTAATCCTTGTCAGCATTGTCATGGTTTTCAGAATCACGAGAATATGCCCCCAACATTTTTCCAATAAGGTCAGGGTCTTTGCGTAATCTGCTTAATGAATTCCTTAAATATCTTGTAGCTACAGTACTAGTAGGCATATCCATTAGAAGGGCCTTGCATTTATATTTATCCAGGGAAGGAATTATTGTTGTGAACAGTTTCTCGTATTGTTCAACAAGTAGGATGTGGTAATATTCCATAGAGACAAGTTAAAGTGCTATTGCATTCTGAAACTCTCCATTTTTTAATAATCTCTTGATCTAGGAGGAAGACAATAGGGCTTGCATTACAGCCCATTTGTGAAGGTTTGAGAAATCTCTGAGCATGGACACTACTGTACTAAAGAGTAGGCTATTTTGGGGGCTTGAAGATTGGCGCTGCCCATTCAGTGTAATTGGCTTTCAGGCACCCCAATGGAGTCGAATCACCTTGTTTGCTGTTTGTTGACTCCTTCACTTGTTTGATAAGGGTTTGTCCCAGGTCTCGGTTCGAGATAAACTGGAGGGACCCTTTCGAGTTTTCTAATGCCCCCGAAAAAAGGTGGAGAGTTCGAGAGCTCTGTTTTGAGATCTTGGCATCTTTTTCGACTATACAGTAAATGCTTGCAAAGCCACGGACGTGATGCTTTGTAAAATAGATTTTTTTTCTCCGTAATAATGCACTACAGATATCTACTCTAGAACATAAAGAAATATCGTAGTCTATATTGTACCACGGGATGCAACGGTGGATTTTCGTTCCGCTTCGAATTCACGAATTCTGTGTCGACCACCCGCCGCAGATCGAATACAAGGCCAATTTGATTTATTCCTTGGTGTACATCTTTGCAAAGTCCACGAGCGCGTGGTCCAGGGCATCGGCTCCGGCGGTATCCATCGTCTGCTTGGCTTTCATGGCGGCCTGCATCACGGCATGGTGAGCCTTGAGCGCATCGACGTAGTCTCCGTCGCAGTCAAAGACGTCCTTCTTGACACGCTGGCACAAGCAGTATTCACCGATGGTGGTGATGATCTTGCAGCAGTGCTCTTCCTTGGTGTTGATCCATCGGACGATCTGGTTCATCGACTGCAAATCCCCGGCCGAGTGCAAGTCCTTGCTCTGGACCATCGCTTTTCGGATCGTCGCCGCGTGTTCCTTCAGTTGCTCCACCATGGCGGGGTCGTCAAAGATCCCACAGGGGACCTGGCAGTGCCCTCCCCGCAAGCGAAGCACCAAGTGAAGGGTGGATTCCTTCTGGATGTTGTAGTCGCTCAGGGTGCGGCCATCCTCCAATTGCTTTCCGGCAAAGATGAGACGCTGCTGGTCGGGAGGAATTCCTTCCTTGTCCTGGATCTTGGTTTTGACGTTGTCGATGGTGTCGGACGGTTCCACGTCCAGGGTGATGGTCTTGCCAGTCAGGGTCTTTACAAAAATCTGTCGAAGCGAATGGCAAAGAAAGCAATGCAAAGAAAGCAATGCAAAGAAAGCAATGCAAAGGATGGCACGGAACCGATGCGTTGAGTCGCGCTGTCTGCGATTCGTGCCGAGAAAGGTGTTGTACCGTTCAAATGGAACAAACCAATCAACCAACCAGGAGCGTGTTCTTTTTTTTTCGTGGGAGAGGAACTGCGGGGTGACTCTCTACCGAACGACGACGACGAAGCGGATATCCTTGCCCAAAAACGCCTACGCTCGCAGGCAAGCACTTCGTCGTGCTTGTGACACCCCAGAGGTTATCCACCGATCGAGGGCCCGTGGCAGTTCGGCATCTCTCTTTGGGCCATTCCCTGGACGGTCCGCTGCAATGGCAAAATCACGACGAGAAGTCAGACGATAGCTCTTACCTGCATGGTCAATGATAGGTGATCGGACAGTAGTAACCTGTGGTACCTTGGCGTTTGTTGAAATCTTGAATATGATGTGTGCTGCGTGCTGGGTGCTGCGTGCTGGGTGCTGGGTGCTGCGTGCTGGGTGCTGCGTGCTGGGTGCTGGGTGGCGAGTACTACTATCGTTCGGTAGAGGAGGAAGGTGAAAGACGAAAACGATGACCGAGAAACGAGAAAACATCTCTCAAAAGATCGACAACAGCTGGATGGTGACACGGCGGGCATGCACTTAGACCTTCTACCGTACCATTAGTACTGGTTCCTACTTACCGTTACGGCTAAGGCCTTCGTTTCGAAGATCTAAAAAATATCTTTGTCCGTTGTCAACTTCGGAGAGGCTCTTTAATTGAGTCCTTTTCTGCGCGAGTCTTGCCCAATTTTCTTTCCCCTCAATCGAATCAATCGGAAAATGCAGTGGAAGAATATGTTGTCACTAGACTGAACTCATTCAGTATGAGGTTGATTTTTTTGTCTCACATGGTATAAAATGTGCTGTCTGTTGCTGCTTGGGTTTACAGGCTATTATTTCTCATCCTTAACTACTATGGTTACTAGTACTACTAGTAGAAACACCATACTAGTAGGCTAAGAAGGAACAACAACAAGAAGAAGAGGAAGATCAACAAAGAACAAAGCCGTGGTGGGTGGTGGTGGGCCTGGTGCTTGTGGTGGTGGTGTCTGGTGCTGCTGGGTATCATCAACCACCAGCACCACCAGCATTCCTCAATAATGCACCAGAGGGCATTGTTTTCCCTGACTGGTGGAAAGTTATCGATCAAAACTGTGTTAACTTTCTGGTGACCAGGTTGCTCCTCACTAGTAGTAGTAGTACTACAAATTACTAGCACTCATCTTAGTAGCTACTACTACTACTACTAGTACCTTGTGCTACAAGAAGTAATACTACTAGTATTATTAGTATTATTATTACTGCTACTACTAGGATAGTACTTTTTTGTTCTTCTACTACTAGTAGTACTACTTCTTGAACTTATTTCCAGCAAGAATGCTCACTGCTCCACACTATCTCATAATTCAGAGAGGGGCAGCAAGCAATGTGCTTGTCTACTACTACTACTACTACTACTACTACTACTACTACTACTACTACTACTACTACTACTACTACTACTACTNTACTACTACTACTACTACTACTACTACTACTACTACTACTACTACTACTACTACTACTACTACTACTACTACTACTACTACTACTACTACTACTATGCTGATGTGGTTTCAAAAAGCTTTTGCTACCAGCATACTCTAGCACTAATATTACTACATCAAAAGATTTCAACAAGGTAAATAACCTTAAACTCCTCCTTACTACTAGTCCTGCCTCCAGAGTACCACTCTTTGGAGGGAGCTACTGCTCCTGCTTGGAGCAACTACTAGTACAAGAATGATAGATCTCCCAGATTCATGGTTATACTACCCAACCTAGTGCCTCTCTTAGTAGTAGTTCAGGAGGTTAGATGTAATATTAAGATTTTTAAAACCTCAAACTCCTCATTGTTTTCTCAGAAGACCCTTGTTCACACAACTTCTGGTGAAATAGCTAACTTGGTGGAGGAAAATGTAACATTTCTCTGAAAACAGAGGATTTTCACACCATATTGATTGTTGGTGAGAATGGTGTTAATTATGTTGTTGCAGCACTGCTACTACTAGTACTACTACTATATCAGCAGTTTAGAACAATGAATTATTTGTTTCTTGCTTGTAACTTGAATTGTCCCCTGTTACTACATTAGAATTTAGTTTAATTTAAATATAATATTACTCAAACTTCTTGTTCATGCAACTAAAAAGAACAAAAAAGGAAATGAATGTGGTGGTCATAATACTTCTTCATAATCAATATTTTAATAGATCTTGCCCCAATCTAGCTCCTGAGGTCATTTCTGTTTGTAATCAGAGAAGACTTCATTCTTTGTCACGTTGGTCTTTGAACTGGATATAACATGGAAAATAATTTCTGCCCATTCCATGTTTCAATGTAGCCAGTCTTATTTTTAAAAAATCATTTGCTGGGTTTATGCCTACTATTGAACAACCATATTGACCTAACATGTCCCGTGCGTGGCAAAGCATGAAAAAAATTGACAAGGACTCTTGTGGATTTGACACCAATGACAAATTTCTGATGAATGCATTGAATGTTGTAAAAAATTACACCGAATACACTAAAGTTACTAGCTTGACATTTGAGTTTCTCAAGTTGTAGTTCGAAAACAAGTAGAATGCAGAGAAAAAAGAAGAATGGGATATTCGTTTTCCAAACCTCTTCACCCTGTCCTTGTATTTCGATTCGAGAACTGTGAAGACATTTCTATCTTTCCATTAGGCCGGCAAACTTCTGGGGGACACTGCTATCTCTGCGAACCAATCGATAGAGGGTGGAAAGAAGAGATGCAATGCCAGAGCTTCTGACATGAAAACATATCAAGCCCAGTTACCGAGAAGGACAAGATGGATCGCCGACCGCTCGCGACGAACTTCCGCCCGCGCCTGCCATCAAATTTTCTTCTGCGTCGACCAGATTATCCGGGATGTTGACCAACTCATCTTCGTCTGTCGTTTCTTCTACCGATTCGAGTTCGCGCTCGTCCACGTTATCTGATGACGCCGTCATCAGTTGCTGCTTCTTTGTTGTTGGACAGTCGATGATTTGAGTGGGCTCTAAAGTGTAAGTATCTACGACCACGGATGGGTCACTCGCCAAGCGGGCGACGAATGTGTGGCCAATGATCGAGCCTTCATACTTGGTCTTGCTAGCCCAGTCAAACATAAAATCTGTGGCAAAAAAAAAGACCCGCAGTAATTAGCAAGGGTGTATGTTGACTGGAAAAATGTTCACTTTCTCGTGACGCTGGAGCCAACTACTTTGACACTTAACATACCTTGTGGAGCATCTTTTAGTCCCATATGAAAGTGGTACTTTTCATGGCAACTAAATCCGTGTTCTGGGACATCCACAAGCTTATTTGCCCAGTATACACTCAGAGGGCATCCAGCTTCGTTCCTAAAGCCTACATCGATTATGTTACACGCCGTGCCTCCATCCGTTACTCTTCCGGCTTCTTCTTTCTGCGGTTTTGGTTTTTCTACGGTTCCTACTGTTTCGGGAGCGAAGGGTGCCACGTCCAGGGGTGCTCTCTTGAGACCTCTCACCACATCCCTATATTCTTCACCACATTTAAATGTACCGGTATTTCCGAGTGGGATCATTCCTACGACAAAAACAGACACCGCAAAAGGTCAGACGGATCGTGTAATGCGCCAAGCTGTATTGGGAATTCTTTTCTTGGCATAATTCTTCCGTTGAACGAGTACAATGCATTTGAGTAATGCCCAGTCAATAATCTACCTTACCGGCTCGGTGTTGTAGTACCACATTTCCCATATTGCCATCTTCGTCAATTTCATGAACGTGATAAACAAATGACTCAAACGTTGGCACAGCAGCCCATTCTATTGCGAAGCGGCAAAAAAAGACAAAGGAGAAAATGAAGTGAGCAATAATCTGGACTTGCGACACGGCTTGCGCCTTTGATCTTGACTCGGTATGTTTGTATTCACTCACCTCCGGGTTTCAAAATTGCATGGGAATCTTCCATTGGTTTCATATCGGGGTGAAAGGGCGAATGCGCAATGCCGTCTACAATCCATGCCAGAACAACACTTTTCTTCGAGGTGTTTTCAACAATCCATGAGGTGTCGATTCCCTTCATCGCCGTGGGATTTTCGAGAGATTTGACCTCTCCCATTGGACAGGTTACTGTTTCGGTGTTGGGTACGAGCGATGCACCCACACCGCTCTCTTTTAGAGCTTCGTATCTCACCCTCCGAGCTCCATCGTCATCCACGGGATATATCGGTCTCCTTCGACAAACATCGGGTTCGTGATATTTTGGCCAAGGAGCCCCCTCTCCGGGGCACTCTTGAACGACACCTCCGTTTGCGGCTAATGCAGCAGCTGCAGCTGCTTTCAGGATATTGCTAGCCATGATAGAGGACAGTGTGAAGGCTGCGAGTCCTGCACTTTTTACTTTGCACTGGATTGAAAACAAATAGGCGAGTTACGTATCATACTTCCGACGTAGTTGTTCTGGAGCTCGCAGTCGTGAAAAGTCATATCGCGCCCTCTCTATACCGGTATCTTATGTACTGTACCTACGGTACGAAAAATTGCTCCTATTCTCGAAGGAAGCAACTTCGTCGCGGAATTCCAGGTAGTAGTACGAGTACCGTACGTACCGTACCATACCGTTCGATACGTCATTTTGCATGTTCGGGCTTTAATTTTTTGCGTTTGACAGCTACAGAAGCATTTTTTTCAATTAATGGTACATTTTTTGCACAATGCAAACAAACAATGAATCCAAAAATGCATGTCCTTCAACACTTCTTTCAGCGCTTTCTCCTGTTTGGTGAGTAGTATGCAGATCCTTACTACCAGACAAAGAACAAGTAAGCAAGAAACAAGAAATAAGCAACAAAACCAGCACCTACAGCACAAGGATTACATCAGCAGTGTTGTTGGTCCAGATTCATCATGCAGCTAATGCAAGCTGCTGATGCAAGAAATGTCTTTTTTTTTATTAAATCCTAAGGCAACAAAGGATAAAACGGCTTATGCTCTGTAGAGGTGATTTTCTGTTCTATTGCATTACATCCCATCGGGACTACGAGGACCCATATATTCCTCCCAGATTTTCGGTTTAGTCAAGTTCATCACCGGGTTCTCGTAATCGTCGCGATAGTGTTCTAATACCAAGCGTTTCAACTTTGAATTACTTCCACTATAAAATTGGGAAAGTTTTTCTTTGGACGATGTTGCGTGAGGCTGTATATTCTTTTCAAAAATGGTTCTATTTTGTGGTCCCCACCCCGACCCATACTCATCAAAGGCTCGAATACGATGCAGTAGCCGGTGCGCATCTTCTTGTAAGTTGTCAAAATAACCAACGAAATTGATCAACTTCCAGCTGGACTCTGTCATCCGTTTGGACTGGGCTTTCCAATGAGGATCTCTGCATTGTGCCATGAAATATTCGACAAAATCTTCGAATGACAAAAGTTCTTCCGTTACGGGTTTTTCGAATGGAAGCAAAGAAAGACATTTTGGTTTATCCTTCTCGAGTGATTTGTTCTTAATTTTCCGTTTTTCTGGTGTTTCGTGATGCAATATTCCACAACAGTGGTTTTTAATATATCCTCCCGGTATCCCCCCAAAGTATGATTTGTGGACTTTTATAGCCTTGTCAATATATGCGGACAAGAGCCGTTCCATTGGATCACGAACAAAGATTGCACGCGTCCAATCCGAGGAAGTCATGAATTCTTCTTGCTTCGTTCTTGGATAGGACCCCAGATACCTCAAACCATTTATATCTGGACTGTGCGTTTTGTCTGAAAGCGATCCGGCTGATTTCCAATCTTTGAAACCCATCATTCGTCGAAACAATACTTTGAACTCCGAACAGGCGTTTTTTGGAACTGTGAAGAAAAGAAGCTTGTGCGATTCAATAACAACAGGATCGTTGTCCCATTCCATCCGTCGGAAAATCTTGTCGCTCCAGTCTATTGGACCATCCTGTACGGGGAAATGTCGGATCTCCTTTCTACGAGCCTTCTTCGAATTCTTTTTCGGGCTCTTTTCGGGATGGCGTTCCACATACTTTTTAGGCAGTTTTAATTCATTGGCGTTTGGTAAATAATTACTCATGTCCGTCGACTGCAATCCTCTCCAACTTTTTGTTCCCACAAAAAGAAACGCAATGACTACGAAACAGAAACCGTACTTGAAACGTGCTTTCCTGCTACTCGTCAAAGGAATTCTATTCCTAACCGCTGTCTTCCGAAGCTCTGTCATTGCTGTGCCGATAAGATAGAAGTTAAAAACATTACTGTACGTCACAGAGTAGCAATGGCTCGTGTGGAGTTCGACTCTTCTCGTCTATTCTTTTGAACGAATGAAAAGCATCGTCACACGGTAGATTAGATTTGTGACAAACAAATTGCTCATGTTCATCGCATTGGAGGTCGAAGATCGTACCGGTAGGTACGAGTATAATGGGAGTAAAATGCGTTAACCGTATGAACCCTACCACGTCCTACAGGGCAGAAAGGCATTCTATTCAAACACCAAAAATTATTACTAGTAGCATCACG